TCACTTTCCTTTGGACACACAATGAACCTGCTTTTTGCTTTTGCCATCAAAGTTTCGGCCAATCTAGAATCATAGAATCCTGTGTCTGGAAGGGACCCTAGAGGTCTTCTAGTCCAACCCCCCTAGTTCTGCCTAGGCAGAAAAACTTCAGACAAATGATTATCCAACATCTTCTTAAAAACCTCCAGTGTTGGGGCATTCACAACTTCTGGAGACAACTTCTGTTCCACTGATGAATTGTTCTCACTGTCAGGAAATTCCTTAATTCTAGATTGCTTCTCTCCTTGATTAATTTCCACCCATTGCTTCTTGTTCTACCCTCAGGTGCCTTGGAGAATAGNGTGGAACAACTTGCCTCCAGAGGTTGTGAATGCCCCAACGCTGGAGGTTTTTAAGAAAATGTTGGATAACCCTTTGTCTGAAGTGATGTCAACATCTTTTTTTTACAGTGTGATGACCAAAACTGGATGCAGTACTCTAGGTGTGGCCTTACTAAGGTTTGATAGAGTGGTATTAGTACCTCCCTGGATCTTGATTGTATCCCTCTGGTAATGCAATTTAGGATCGCACTGGCTTTTTTGGCTGCCGCCACACACTGCCAGCTCATATTTAGCTGGTTGTCCACTAAGACTCCAAGATCCCTCTCACAGTCCCTGCTATTAAACCTGGTCTCACCCAGTTTCTATATGTCCTTTTGGCTCATTGGCTACATATAAAAAGTCACCACAACCAAGGATTTTGTAGCGAGACATGCTTTCCTGCTTGAGTAACAAGAATTCTCCCCCCACCCCTTAAAAACAGACCCGGCTAACCAGTTTCCTAATCCCATTTAAAAAAAAAAAAAAATGGGTAATTTCTTTATACAGCCTGGAGGGAAGTTGCATTCAAACCCAGCTCTGTGTTTTTTAAGACCGCTTGGCTTTTTATCAGTTGGTTGATTGGGAGTTCAGTTACTAATGCTAGACTCGTGGTAACTAAAGCCCAGAGAATCTCAAGCCATTACTCAAAACTGCTTAGGCTAATATTTCCAAACGGCCGAATACTTTAAGGAGCTGAGGATTTGTCTCTGGTGTCTTAGAAGCCACATACCGAGAGATTGGGCTAAGAATAGCTCCTTCTAAGCAGGAGTCTCTTTGACACGATGTGCAATCCCTTTGTGCCTGATTTTTTTACTTTTTTTTTTTTTAGAAGTGCTGACTTGGTAAGGCCACGCCTGGAATATTGCAACCAGTTTTGGTCGCCACAATATTAAAAAAAAGATGTGGAGTCTCTAGAAAGAGTGCAGAGAAGAGCAACAAAGATGATGAGGGGACTAGAGGCTAAAACATAGGAAGAACGGTTGCAGGAACTAGGTATGTCTAGTTTAATGAAAAGNAAAATGAAATATTTTAGGAAATATTAAAAGGGCAGAATATTTCCCCTAAAAGGAAGCAGAAACTCACACCATCCCCCATCTTTGTCAATGGGCCATTCTGTTCTACATAACAAAGATCTACCTCCTCTCAGGAAGAGCCATAATAGGAATCCCAAAGCCCTTTCATTACATCATCACCCAGCAAGAGTCAACCGAGCTTGGGACTCAGGACAGCCTAGAGAGTTGCCCCTGCATGGCCCCATGGGAGTCTGATAACCAATCAGAATGCAAGCTCAAATTCAAAAGCCCAGAGAGGGCATAAAATCAAGGCACTCTCCGCATCTCTTCCCTTTTTCTCCCAAGACCTCAAACCACCATTAAAACCATCTTCCCAAGCAGCCTCCATATTCCCAGTGTCTTTTCCCCCCACTTGGAACTGAACCCAGGTGGACGTTTCACCCAACCATTCCATGCCCTCTTCAAGTGAGGTTTTCTTCTCCAAAACAATGGGAATTTTTTTAAAAAAAATCCCAACAAGGAAGAGAATCTGAAAACGATTTGGTTTCTTGACAGATCGGGCGAGGGACGGAGGAGCGATTCCTGGGATGATCCTGTATGTCACAGCTGCTCTCCAGTCACTTAACAATCACTCAAAGGGATGATATAAAATATCACTCTTTTTTTTTTTAACCTAGTGGAAATAATAGTCCGTCTGTCCCCTGATTCCTGGAGGCTCTTTAAGTCCCTGAAACGGGATGCCTTAAACCTCAAGAGAGAGAGAGAGAGAGAGAAATGTTGACAAAACAGGCAATTTTCTGTAATTTCTCTGCAAACGTCTGTCATCGCGGGACGGTGGAGGGGGGGGCAGGTTTGGTCGCCGTCCCGTTTTCAGATAACACCAACAGGTCACCTTTGACATTTCGGTTCTCCCCGGCTTCGGAGCATCCTGTAAGTGTAACAGTTGTGTCTTTCAGCCGCTCCAAATGCCAGCCAGCGATTTTGGCTTGGCCCCACTGAAGGCAGCCTTTGTCTCCCCTTGGAAAAGGGATCAGGAACGCAGTTAATAGCTCCGAGAGCGGGTTAATCAGCAAGTGCTATTACCCCACCAATATTAGGAAGGATGACAGAGTTATCAATAACTCGGCCCCCAGGTGAAGTACAAGAGCTGATAAGGTGAACTCCTCCGGCTTGATCCCGGCTTGGCTTAAGCGCTCATTTAAAAAGAAAAAAAGAATGGCACAGCTGTTTCCCCCCCCCCTTCCCTCTTTCTTTGCGACATGCCAAAACATGGGCAGCTGGAGAAGTTTGTATGGGTGTGCGTTGTGTGTGCAGGAGGGAGGTTTATGTCGTCCCCCCCCCTCCATTTTTTCTGAATGTAAAGGTGAGTCTGTGGTTTAAAAAAGAGAGCGGATAGACCGTAGACTGATAGAGTGAGAAGGGACCTTGGAGATCTTCTACTCCAGCCAAACTAATCAAGGAGGGAAGCAACACAGAACTAAGGAGAACTTTCCTGATGGTTAGAGCAGGGGTGCGTTCCTGCCAGTTCTAACCTCTTCTATAGAAGAGGTTCCACAAATCCACAGTGCTGTTTAGAACCGGTTCCAGCTCCCTCCCCCCGCCCGTTCGCACATCATCAAGATGAAGAGCGAGAGGAGGAATTCTGGGAGTTGAAGTCCACAAGTCTTAAAGCTGTCAACATTGAACACCTCTGGTTTTTTTTTTTCTTCTAAAGGGTTAGGGGTGCCAGGGTCTTGTAACTTCACAGCTTTAAGACTTGCACGCTTCAATGCCAGAGTTCCTGAGCCAACATGACTGGAGGAGGAATTCTGGGAGTTGAAGTGCACAAGTCTTAAAGCTGTCAACATTGAACACCTCTGGGTTTTTTTTTCTTCTAAAGGGTTAGGGGTGCAAGGGTCTTGTAACTTCACAGCTTTAAGACTTGCACGCTTCAATGCCAGAGTTTCTGAGCCAACATGACTGGAGGAGGAATTCTGGGAGTTGAAGTCCACAAGTCTTAAAGCTGTCAAGTGGCAAGACCTTTGCACCCCTAATCCTTTAGAAAAACACCCAGGGGTGTTCAAACTTGACAGCTTCAAGACTTGTGCACTTCAACTCCCCGAATTCCTCCTCCAGTCATGTTGGCTCAGGAACTCTGGCATTGAAGCGTGCAAGTCTTAAAGCTGTGAAGTTACAAGACCCTTGCACCCCTAACCCTTTAGAAGAAAAAAAAACCCAGGGGTGTTCAAACT